GCTAACGGAATTGAAGGACATATAAGTGTTTTCGGGAAACCGTCAGCCGCCGTTCTTGGCCGCAATGACGCTGCTAATGCATGCATTGTTCAGAAGACAGTCTGCAGATGCCGTTTGAGGAGTTTTTCTTCCTGTGCGTGCACAATTTGCGCCATGTCTGCGCCAAAAATGAGCTGTTTTCAAAAAGAAAACTGAAAGTGCCTGGCATTCCTGCCGATGCCACTAAAAAATAAATGCAGTTTTTTTTTGTTTAGGTTTTTGTTTTGATGCTTATGTACTATGTGCGAAGACTTCACCATTAACCGCAATATTCATACTTTTCGAAGTGTTGATCGCGGCGTGTTAGCCCCCTTAAGTGCGCTCCTTGTCAAGCACCGATGCACTGCGGCGAAGCAATACCCGCGGAGCTGACACCGCGATCTTGCGACTCGCTTCGCCGCAACGCAGCCGTACACTTAGTCGAAAAACACACCTTCAAAATTTCATAACGCACCTGCGCTCCTGTTGTAATTAAGAAAAAAAGAAGAGAAAACGTTGTGATTGTTGATATTTGTACTGCAGTAAAATCTTCAAATTTTATCTGTGGATTTTATGCGAGGGTGTATGTTAGGCACCGATGTTTTAACAGCCTGTGTTCACTACTTGTGCTTGTTTTGTTTCAATTCAGAATTAAATAAAATATAGTTATATAGAAAAAAAGATATATAAATCCCCTATATTCGGTATGGCCGGGTTCCCTTACGGGTTTAATTTTATGTCAAATAAGTCATTTACTTGCCATCCTAATCTAGGCATTGGACTGTCTGAGGACACAGTTTACAAATATAGCTAGATTAAATTTAACAGAGCTCATAAGTGGGCAATTAGAAGCTTGGCAGCAACCTTTGCGAGTTCAGCTTAATTTTTGTTTAAGCACGGTGCAGCAGTAGCGAAAGGCACGGAGAAACGCGCAGCAACTATTCAATATTTGATTAAAACATATTCGCCCGAAACCACTATTCACTTTGAATTTGCTTCGAACCCAAACTATACTATTTACACATGCCTAAAGAAGAGTTAAGGCCCGTTCACACACTTGCGACCTCTCAGAACCGGGTGCCTTGGAACCTCTTAATATCTCTTTTCTTACAACGAGAGGACACACTGGCGCCATCTGTTAGGTAGCAGTGTAAACTTGGCGGTCCGGCATATTTTCTATTTTTTCCGCGCATTATCCCTTTTTTCTTGGCTCGAAAAACGTGTGCCAACGTTATAAAGGGCCTTTCTTATAGGTATTACGCACATTTGACCTCGGGAATCCCGCAAAACCCTCGCTCATGTGAAATACAGTTCCAGGGTCACCGCATAGATGGCGCCATTGTGTTGTCTCGTCCCTCTTGGTCGTGCTCGGTTGCAAAAATGGGAAGGGGCCTTCATCGGTTTTTGTGCGAACAGTGCTCACATAGATCGCATGAATAGGTAGCGCTACTCGTGATCACTTATAGTAGCTATGTGCTCCGCTTAGCTGCTCTAAGAACCGTAGCAGGTGGAATACGAGCGAGAGCAGCGTGAGACGCACTTAACACCAAAGTGTCCGTTTGATGTCGAGCCCGCGCCCGTTCGCACTCTTGCGACTGAGTAAGACCGAGAGAGACCAGACCGGTTTTTAAGCCTTTCGCGATCTCTTAGGACCAGCTCTGCTGCAGCGCATCCGGTCCTAAGAAGTCGCAAAGGGCTTAAAAACCGGTCTGGTCTCTCTCGGTCTAACTCGGTCGCAAGAGTGTGAACGGCGCTTTAGCTCACGGCATGATACAAACCCTACAAATTAGCCAAAAACATATTTTACGTCAAACAAAAACACGCCATCGGTACTTCTAATAGGTCAATTGAGACATCTGGAAAATTACCGGCGTAGGGTTGTTCAATATATATATATATGCAAAGCACGCAAAGCACGCACTTTTTATCTACATATCTTAAATGGTTTAACAAATTCAATCTAACATTAATCTCTGCCATTTGTCCTACCAAACCATGTACGGCCAAAAACTTCACTTTTCACATGTTTCCAGCGGGAATTAATAATATACTGATAATTTTTTCTTAGTAAGATGAAGACCGCGTCCTGTTCTATATACTGTATTCGTATACAAGAAACATTCTTAGGAGGCAAATCAAGCCTAAGAATTGTCGTTCAAATACCCCTCTATTTCGGCGTTTTTTTCAAAGTCGCCGCGAGGCTTCAGCCTTAAACTTCAGCGCACGATAGTGCTAAATTAGCGCTTGCGTAAGCGCACGTTACGTAAGAAAGTTTTAGAACAGCATTTCTCCGCCGCGACGCAAAACCCCATGCATCTCGTTCGGAATGCTGCACCTCACCAGAAAAACGACTTTTTGGTACAGAGTAAACCTTTTAGGTTTGCACGTTCAAATATGAGAATGCGAGGCGAGCAGTCGATCGGTCTCTTCGGCAAGAGGAATCTAGTATACTGACCTTTGCCGATAGAAGTGTTCGCTCTTCGTAGGCAGCAAGTTGCCGGCGGTCGTTGCCCTCCTTACTAGGTCTTAACCGTTAGTGACGTGCCCATCCCGTAGGAGCGCAATGTTGTCTCGTGTATTCTCGCAGTCGCGAGTATGCCGCCGACGTCACGCTCACGACGGCAGCCGAGGTGGCCGCAGCGGTGGTCCTTGGAGCCGACGTTTTCCAACTGTGCTCGCCTTGGCCATCTTGGCTGTAGCCAACTTATCGTTCATCACGAATCCTCCTTGGAGGAACACAAATGCTCTTTGCGTATACGTACTCAATTTCCGAAAGGTAGTTTTCGTAGATCGTTTTCGCCTCCCCGCAACGCTCTCCGCAACCCGCTAAGGTATCCGGAGCTCTACAGTCAAGGCCATCGGCGCGCAGGCGCAGTAGCGGCTTCTTCCTAGCGGAGGGGGAAACGCGGTCTACGAAAACTCTTTATTCTAGAACTCCCTAATAGGGAGTTTTTGTAGACCGCCTTGCCCCCTCCGCTAAGCGATCCGCAACGAAAAAGTTGCAACTGCGCCTGCGCGCCGATAGCCTTGACTGTGGAGTTCCCGCTATCGTAGCGGGTTGCAGAAGGCCTTGCGGGACGGCGAAAACGATCTACGAAAACCCCCTAATAACGCGAACCGCCTACGTTCTCGCCAAAGCCTAGTCTAGATTCGTGGCCTTTCGGCCGTGCTGCGCGGCGGCTTGCCTGTCCGCCTTGTTTCCTTTTTTGTATCACCAGTGTGCGGTTGAAAGGGGGGGGGGGGGGGGGGGGATAGGAAGGGGGAGAAAGTTGATGTTGACCTAGCAACCTCACTAATTGTCACAGGAGTTGCGTCCCCTTTCTTTCCCCTCCCCCATTTTACCCCTTTCCCTTCCCCATATTTCCTCTTTCTGTTCCCGATGTTCTCGCTTTCTCTTCCCCATATTCCCTCCTTCTCTTCCCCATGTTCCCTCTTTCCCTACCTCATTTTCCCTCTTCCCCTTCGAACTCTGGCGGGTCGTTGCCGGCGCTCGGAATGTTTGCGGAGCGACCTCCGTACGTCCGCACACGTCGCCGCGAGGGACCGTTACGCCATCTTTGTTGTGGTTGTTTGCGGCGTCGCCGTTTTCTCGTCTGCTTTCTTTTATCTTCTCGCGAAGGGAAAGGAGGCGCGTCGGTAGTGGTACCTAGCGTCATGGGGTGTCCTCCTTTCCATCTACCGCGCATTACCATATCAATTGGGGAAAGTATATCCCGAGCATGTGAGGTTTTAGAGGGAGCAAACGCGGTTGGTTGTGTGAGTTTAGCTTCGGTGCGTTTGTTTTTCCGCGGTTTTGGGGGGAAAAAGGGAGGGGAAACTGAGATGTCGAATGGGGAACATGGGGAGGAAAAGGGGTGATAGAAAGAAGGGGGCGGTGGAGGAAAAATTGCTCCGGCATTAGCGTTATTAACGCCGCGTTTGTCTCGGTCGCTTTTCGTGGTTCTGCGCTCTGAGTGTGTACTTTGGCGTCTTTCGGCTTCTAGTTTTTGGGGATTTTTTTTTTTTCCTTTCCCCACACTTCCTTTCGGTTGCGGTTCTCCCGCGCGATGTGGCGCGAAAGTTTAGGGATGGATGCACTCAGCTTGGTCGAGTAGATGTGGCACCACTCGTGCCCCTTTCCCTGTACATTTATTCCAACTATTCTTGAACCGTGAAGGTGTTCATGTTTATGAGGGGGTAAGAAATGAATGCACATTCGCGTATTATTGAAAAAAAAAACGAAAAAAGCGATGAAAAAGGTTAATGTTTATACGGTAGTGATGTATTTGGTTATGCCACTTGGGTGGGTGACTCGCGTATAGTTTGGTTTATGCTCGCAATGTTGGAAGTCAGTTGTGGTGAAGTTTTCAGCTCTGTCGTCGGTCTCTGCGACTATATCCGTGGCGCGGATAGCGTTCGCTTCGCGGTTTGAAATTATGCGTGTAGATGGTTCCCTTATGGTCATTCGGATGTATGTTCTTGTTCTTTTTATAGGTCTGCCAGCGGCTTATTTAGGTAGACTTTGTAAAGACGGGAATGTTATGTATTAGTTGCTGTTGTTTCGAAGCGATTGCTCTGGAATGGTACTCTCCGGGCACCTTGCTTGCGGGAGTTGGCGTTGTTCGCACTAGTGCTGTGGGAGAGATCGCAACGACGGAGCGCAGCCGTTGTTTGACGTCATAGCGTGTTCGACCAATGGGGTAGTGTTGCCGCTCGGAAGAGGGTGAGGGGGTATGCCTTTGGGGTGGGTAAGTGGTGCGCTAGCACCCCCCCCCCCCCAACACCCTTTCCTCTGTTGTGTAGGAATGTGACGGGGGCTAGGCACTGCGTATTAGCGCTATCGCTAGTTATTTGCATTTCACGGAAAGTATGAAAGCCAGGCGATATATTTTTTTCTTTTGTGGAAGTGACGGCAACTGGGACAACTCGCCTATGGTGATTTGTGTTGTTGCTCTTGCCAAAGAAACTTGTCCGACGACAGCCTTCTTTTGTTGTCTGTGCAGAGCGCAAGCTGTTCATCGGCATGCTGGCCAAGGAGTGCAACGAGAGCGACGTCCGCGTCATGTTCTCGCCCTTCGGTTCCATCGAGGAGTGCACCGTGCTCAGGGACGGCAGCGGACAAAGCAAAGGTAATCTTCGTCCTCTTCCGCATGCTCCTCCTGATCTTCATCGCGACTTTGATTTTAGTGCCCATAATGGCCGATTCACACGACGAACAGAACCGCCATTTTCGTCCGCGGACCGTTCACCTCGTGACTGTCACGTCACCGATTCCTGTGATCCGCGCCTCGTCCGCGGACGCTGCTATGAAATGGCTGAGCGTCTTTTCACTCGCGGATTTTTTGTGGGTGATTGAACTTTTTTCTTTTGGGGTAAATAAAACTTGGCGCGTTATTGTGTTTTGTGAGTTCGCTGGTTCATTTTGTCGCGCGATTCTTGTTTTCACGCGCGATTCTTGTTTTCACGCGCGAAAGAAGCTGCAGAAACGTTGCCCGGCTGACGCGACGGAGGTTCCGGTACTCCTCAAGGTCCGCTTAAAAAAAAAAAAAAAAAAGCTTCTGCCAAAACTCGTTTAGCACGCTGCGATCTTTTCACATATCTTTCGAACCTTTCGCCGAGCACGAACTTTTTTGTGGCTGTGGTGTACTGAAGTGTTGTGCGCGGAGTACGTGAAGGCATCTCCAAACGTCCCTCCGCTAGCTCACGATTTCGTCGCTTCTACAACTAGGCTTCCTCAAACAGGACCCTGCTTGTGTCACTGTCATGCCTTGGGACGGTAAAGCTATACTCCGTTCAACTTTAAGCGAGGACTCGAAGCTCCGCCTTCAGCGCGAGCTCGCTGGCTTCCGCAGTGCTTTGGTTCCCCGTGCTTGCGCGTTGACACTTCTGTTAGCAATGGCAGAAAGTTCGCGCTGAAGACGGAGCTTCTATTCTCAGCTTAAGGGTAAACGGGGCATTGGCTACTCTAGCGATATCGACACCGCGTAGCGGCAACGCCGAGAAGCTCAGGAGAGGGGGTCGTTTCGACTCGTGTCATCTGCTATCGCTGCTTGGTTCTCGTATGCAGCATAGAGACAAACATCGTTCCCAGTAATTATGTTTACGCTTCCGCCGTCTCATACCTACGGACTGACTAGAAGGTATCTATCGTCGAAAAATCGCTTTGCTTTCATATGGAACACCGATTTTATGCTGCAGTGCAAGAAATATGTAGTGTTCCGCGTGCTGAACGACAAAAATTACCTCCATTTTGCTTGACCAGCCCCCTGTAATTCGCTGCAGTCGCGAATAGTCTGTTTAGAGCCGCTTCGCGCTAAGTCTATCATGGTGTCCTGTCTCCCCCTGCACGCAGCAGCGGTGCGCGATGCTTTTTTTGCAGTAGCAAACGTCGATTTCGTTCTTGGACAACATCGCCACAGCGCGATCATGCGAATGTTGGAGTTTCGCGGCACGGTAGGGTCGCGAACAGGTTGGGTCCGTCCTCGCTCTCTTCTGCTCGTCGTCACCTTCGTGTAAATGCGCTTGGGAGACGGACTAGGCGCGAACATGTCACGTGATCATTCTGTCTGTGGATCAGTCCGCCGCGTGAATCGGCCATAAACAGCCATTTGTAATATAACATGAAGACCAAATTCATAAAATACTATATAGCAAGACGCCAACATTACGTTTTAAAAGTTTTTTTCGTATTCTCTTGCCATCATGTCGGTTCTCATATCTTTTGATTTGTTTAATCTGTCGACTCACAGCCACCAAAGAGAACGTGCACACCTTAAACGTTTGTCGTAAGTTCCCGTCCGATCACTTCAAGCAACGAAGAAGTCGTTACAGGCCGCACCCGCGCTACCGAGCTCATCATGAAGATGACGGGGTTCAAACGTCACTCGCTTATTGTTCCCTGCCTTCGACCGAACCACGCGTTAGCAAGGATGTTTCTGTGTAGGCGGAGCGCCTTATTAATGTATCACTGCCTCTCTATCAATTCATTACCTTAACGGCACGCTTCACGAGATTCCGCTGACTTTCGGAAAACATCCGCGGAGCCCCCGGATAAAAATTCAGGTCGGAAATTGAAGAGGGGAAGTTGGGGATAAAGAGAGAAAAACGAGAAAAAAAAAGACAAGGGCATGTGCTCGACTTTACATAACCCGTCGAGGCTTCGGAGAAGGGCAAGGGGGCGGGGGGGATGATTGATGAGCGATCATTGATTGAGGACGCCACGGAGAGCCGTGACGGCTGAGTTTTAATTAATGACGATCGATCGCGGTGATGGATAGCCGTCCTCCTTACCCCCGTCTGTTGCGTCACGTGCCTTCTTCGTTTGTTTTTTGAAGGGGGGGGGGGGGGGGGGGGGAGGATGGCAGAAACGGTAGGAGATTGCCCGTAATAAAGTGGAGAGGGTGCGTTGGGGTGAGACAGAAGGCGGCGCAGAACAAGCTGGCAGTGTATACACTCCATGTATGCGCCTGCATAGCCCCCCCCCCCCCTCCCCCTTTTCCCCCAAATTCGAAGCTTTGAACCAGCCTGGCATTATGTATGAGAAAGACCTTATAGAGCCTACACGTAATTCGCTGAGTGCACCTTGCGCGTACGGTGTTTTCCCCTTTACCTTTTTTTTCCGCGTTATCGGATTATGGATTTACGCTTTGGCTATCGGGTTATCTGACTAAGTTTCGGCGTGCGGCCCATGTGATCTCTCCGTGTGTGTGCGTAATTTGGTAACTTTTTAGGGCGTGTTATATGCGAGAAGGAGGAGGGTGAGATTCGAGGATTGCATCTTTCTTTACTTTAGGGATTTTTTCTTTTTTTTCTTGGAACGAAAGGGTTGTTTGTTACACAACTCGGAAACGTCTGAGAGTCAGCTTGTGTTAGGATGAAGCGGAGTTTTCCCAGACGCTGCAACCAAGTTCCTGCTGTTTGTTTTTCGATTACCTTATTTTGCCCTTGTCTCGTAATGTTTTTTACCTTCTCTTTTGACGCGCAGTGTGGCTCACGTTTTTTTGTTTTTTTTTTCTGTATACCAGAGTTCGCTCGCCTAAGCGTCTTTGTTATTAACCCGACACGGCAAGTGTTCAGCTATCGTAAAATAGACACGTTGCTTGTCTAGGTACATCAGGCCTCCCTATAGGCTGAGCAGCAGCAGCTTGCTAACGCGATATGCTTTTTAGGATACGAAACGGTTTACTAAATCGCTGTCCACGATAGCAGGATTTAAAGCAAATATTTTTTCGGCTGCTCACTTCATTTTTTTTTACGCCCTCCACAAGTCCGCGTAAAATACAAAAAAAAAAAAAAAAAAAACGAAATTGCATTTGCGCGAGAATACAGGATCACTTCGTGAAATTCGTTCCCGGGCCCATTTCTCTTTTCCTCTTAACAAAAAAAGAAAAAAAAAAAGCCGAGCCTCGCTAGTAGCCGACTGACAAGACCCACGCGCACGTGAACACACATTGACGTCACCCATAAACCCACATAGATAACAAGAAAAACAAAACAAAATATCCGAATTCTTTGCCTTTTCGTTCTAATTCTATTAGAAGGCACTTTGTATCTTGCGCTGTTTTTCGTCGTTCGATGCGCGGCGGCCCTTTTGGGCGCGGCTCTCGGGTTTCTGCCTTGTGTTTCGCGCTCGCGCTCTGCCTCGTAGAGTTATGTGGCCCTAGGTAAACAAACGAAAGCCCGGTCCGGCCCTGCGGAACTCCAGATAACGTTCCCTTCTCAGCGCGCCACACGCTCGCCGTGGAACGAAGGGTTTGGGTGTGCGGGCGTGTGTGTGTGTGTGTGTATGGTGACCCTGTGTATGTGTTCGTGTGTGCGTTTGCGTATGTATGTGTCTGCACGTGTATGCGTGTGGTATTTGGACCCATCTTGTTGGTCGGCGGTCGCAGTACCACGTGACCACGCTTCCCGCGTCCGCTGTAGGCGGAGGAGTCAGGTCACGTGGTGTGAGGTCGGCTCACCTTACGACTGACCGGAGAGGACGCTGCGAACGATCACAGCCAATCCAATCCGGTACGGTAGTCACGTGACTTTAGGAAGGTGCGCAGCGACGCTCGGTACGCAAAGCCGCGTGACACATTCGCGGCTTTGGATTGGCTAGGATTGGCCGGTAGCGTCCGTTGCGGTCCATCCTAAGGCGAAGCGGAGTATCCATAGCTTGCTTTCCCGGCATTGTGTATATAGAAGCCCGGATGTTTGGTCAAAGTCTCCGGGGGTCTGTTGTTTCTCTCGCTGCTGCTCGCGTTCTTGGTGAGGGAATTTAAAGGTTGAAAAGCTTCGTCCGTCCCTGCTTCTGTGCGCAGCCCGTCGTTAATCTTGGTTTGTTTTGGGATACAGACCCTTCCGAAAGTAGGGCAGTCGGCGATCGAGAAACACTGTCGTGATTGATCGGCTCTTGGGAGGAAGCACTCCGTCTTTGACTATGCCGCTGTTGCGCCCATCTTGTACCCCCTTCCCCATTCCCTTTGTTTTCCCTTCTTTTACGTGGTTGCGAGAGCGGGAAGAGATCTCCCTAAAAGTGCCAGCTCTGCACGATCGAGATTCGGGCAGCGTAGTTGCCGTTGTTTCGTAGTGCACTTTTTGTAGCCGCATTCGTTGAATTTATAGTAACGCGTGCACGACCTTCTGGTCAACGAACACAATGACGCCATTTCGAATTTTCACGCCGAGTTAAAACTAGCGGGAAGACGGGAGGGCCTGGCATCGGGTGCTGTCGGGGCACTTTAGAGGCTCGGTTATACAGTAGGGTGAAGGCTTGGGCGAGTTAGTTTTGCATATTGAAAAATTAAAAACAGCACGGACCAGACGAAAGTCAAGAGGAGACGCTGCCGCGGAGACGGTTATACTCCGATATCGAGCGTAGCTGACGCGGCGTAGCGCAGTGCACACAGATACTGACATGATCGATCGACTTCCTGCTCGGCGGTCAATGAAACGTGCGCGTTTTGCGCTACGCTGCGTTCAACGTCCGAGCCATAAGGGCTCGTTCGCACACTTGCAACTGTTTACATCCATAGAGGCCTAAATCGCTTTTAAGCCGCTTGTGACTGCTTTCGACCGGCTGCGGTGCCGCGGAGTTGGTCGTAACCAGTCCCAAGTGGCTTAAAAACCGGCTTAAAGGGCTGGTTCA